CCATGTATTGATGACACATGACATTATCCATGTATTGATGACACATGACATTATACATGTATTGATGACACATCACATTATACTTATACATGTATTGATGACACATCACATTATACATGTATTGATGACACATTATATACATGTATTGACAACACATCACATTATAGATGTATTGGGGGAAAGGAGGGAAAAACTATACTAAAAATTGTCCCAAAGTAAAGGTTTATTTTTCATTTTAACCACATAACTGAATAAAAAAAAGAACCAAACTGAAACCAAAGATCTATCCAAAATAAGCATCTTGTCTAATAGAATACTATCTCATGACTTGCTCCATGAGTATTGTGTCATATAACAAGCTACAGACCGTGAGTCAAACTAATATAATCATTTATTTTACCACTAAAAGTAGTTTTGGATAAAAGGGGAAAACTCAAAATATTGTGCTCCCTCTAGTCAAGGCAGAATCATTTCCCATGACACTGGGCCGTAGGTGCCTCACAGAGGACAGCACATATGGTCGCTTCAAACTAACTCAGATCTCGGGGGTTTCCAGAAATCTTAACCTACACCAAAAGTGGGCATTGCCCTACCTATAGCAGAAGTTTGGTTATAGAGAAAACTCTCCTTGTCTTTTAAATTAAAGAAACTGAACAAGGGACAAAACTTTACGAAGTGACTATTTCTCCGAACGTTCGGGAAAATAAAGCTGAAATCTATTTCTCTGAATGGTTTCCGATCTCAAGATTTTTTGGTTATTTGCGAGATTTAGGCGTTATCCTTTCATTCTGCCATCCTGCGAGGACTAGGAAAAAGAATTTTTTGCATCAAATTCAATTTCTAGAGCTAGAGATTTTTAAATATCTGAATATTCAGATACTTCACTTGTGGTTTGGGCAACATTCCCTGACTATACGTCATTTGAAAACAACTTCAAAAGGTACTGCAAGAAAACAACTTACAAGACTGCTCGACCTTGGCATTAACTTATAACTTATTTTGCATTTAGTTAGTCACCCAGCAAAAAACTAAAATCCTTCATGTAAAATCCCCCCCCCCTCCCGTTCACACCTTACACACACACACGGGCCACCCCATTCGCTTATTATCAACAAATCTTGAGAACGGAAACTGTTTGGAAAAATAAAGTTCAAGTTTATTTTCCAGAACGTTCGGAGAAATAGAGCTGGCCATTTACCTTCGATTTTCTCAAAACATAATTTTTCGAGATTTGTGCTTAAAAGTGACCAATTAAAGCTGTATTATACCACCAGCCCTTTCTAAGATGGCCGTAAAAAGGGGCTTGGCTGTGTAAATATAATTAAATATGACACATATTCACAGTTTATTGTACTTCTGAAATTTTTGGATCCACAAAAAAAGCATCAAAGACTCTTTCCTTTCAATGCTATAAATTGTCCGACAATTTTTCGTTTGTTTTACAACACTGAAATTTTAGTTTGCTTGCATTCCCCTCTCTTGGTGGTGCCATCATAGATCTAGTCTTTGAAGTTTAGGCTACAGGCCCCGCTTCTCTCCCTTTGAAAATTGTGAGCAGCGGTAACCGGTCATCTTGTCACACCCCAATTATGTGTGACAAAATGACTTTGCTCTCTCCAAAATTGTTGCTAGCAGAGTTTTGGAGGTAAGCCTAAAGCTTTTTTCGAAGTTATATAAATCATTATTACTGTAAATTAAATCTTTGTCCAAACTGTTCCATAGTAGTATTAGTAGAACAATAGTTTAAATAAGGCAAAACAAGGTCTGGTAAAGGCTTAGTAAGGCTTAAACTTTAATTTTGAAGGTAAGGGACAAGGGTCTATATCAGCTTTTAGCAAAATTGCAGTAGTACTGTACATTTCTTAAGTCTTAAGCTAATTTATTTTTCAGAAGTAATATAAATCTTGCCAATCACACCTTTCATCAATAGTAATACCTAAAAACTTTGTTGTAGTGTGCTACGAAATGACAGTCTCGATTCAATCTTGTGGACGTTGGGTGTGACGAGATGACTGAGACGTCTTAACTGCACCGGTGTGACGAAATGACTGGTATTCTGAGCAGCAAAGTTGGACGTCCATCTAACCTCAAGTCCGAATAGAGCAGGCCTTGAGTAAAACGGGTAAAAATGAACAAGATCTTAAGACAAAACAGCATGAGACCATAGTTATCAATAGAGTAGTGAAAGTAAAAGAATACCGTTCCAGCAAACTCAAACAGTGAAAACAGATCATCCAGTGTAAAGGTACGCATAAAGAGAATGCTTGCTCGCGATAAAAGCGAGCATGTTGGGACAAGCGCTTGAAATGTTCAAAATTTGCTTGTTGCGCACAAGATTTGAAGAAGCGCGCTCGCTTTATCGCGCCTGAGATTTCAAGCGACGCTTGAAAAGCGTAAAAAATCAAAAGTTAATTCTTTCTCGCTTGCAAGCGTGTACCTGGTGCCGCCCCCCCCCCCCCCCATTGTTGTCTGGTCACGACTTGCATTTTCTCTCAGTCTCAGTGACAATCGGACCGAAATGGACGTCGAGTCTTTGATAACAGCCGTGTTTAAAATACATGCACATTTCGCTCATTCTCAGGTAGGACTGAAAATGTGAAGGGCTCCTTTTAAGTAAAGGAAACAAGTGGTGATGTTCACCTTCCACTCGCCTCCTTAGATTTATCTCTTGAACCCCCATTCTTTTGCGTTTTCCTAGGATAATTTCATGCAAAACACTGTCTTACAACAATAGTTCGTCTTCACTCAAATCCGCCATGGCGTCTAATGCCCAAGTTCTGACCAGTCGCAAGCGCGATTTTCAATCTTTCTATTTGTACACCTCAAGGACAAACAAGCGCTTTCTTCACAAGCGTTCGCTTTATCGCAATCACTTTATCGCGAGCAAGCGTTCTTTTTGTGCGTACACCTTAATACAAAGAAAAACTAAAGTAGGCCTACTAACCTGTGTCGGCATTGTCGAAATCTTCATCGTCCATCCCGGCTTTTGCCTTATGTTTCTTTTTCATGGGCAAAACAACAGTACCATCACTATTAGAGTCTTCCAACTTTTTCCGTTTCTTTCCTTTCAACTTCGATAAGTCTTCCTTCGTTGGTACTACAGATTCCAATTGATTCCCACTTTTGTTTTTTGCATTCTGATTCTTCTTAGTTGTTTTCTTGACAGTCACTGGAGCAGAACTATCACCATTTGGACATTGTTCACTTCCACTATCCCCACCAGACAACTGAGACTGAGACTGATGTAAATTTTCAGATTTGGAGTCCGCTGACTCCTCACTTTCACTTGCATCGCTATCACTAGAGGTGTCCGACATTTCATAAAAGCGTTCCATAGTACTTTTATTCTTTTTTGAAGGATCACGTACTGGTCTTCCTCGTTTATCCATGTCCATCCTATGACTGAAATGCCGATTTGTGAACAGTGACTGAAAACGTGAGTCAATCTTTACTTTCTTTTTCGATTTCGGCATTGGCTTGAACCTCGGATCTGACGCTATGTGAGCGAATCGGGGATCATCGCTGATAGCATCCATTTTGTCAAAATGATTTGTTTACTAGTCTTTATAAAGGAACGATATATTTGCCTCTATTCAGGATCTTGGACTTTGACTTAGTCTCCACCTTTGCATTCTCACGTGTAGAGACTCCTCGGGTTGTTTACCTCTGACTGTGTGGTGGGGGATGTAGAAATCTTCTCATTCAGGAAAACAGAATTCGTGTTTCTTTAGAAACTTATAGCTCCAAAGAGCTAAAAATGGTGTAAGCCTAGAAAAGGCAGGTGCCAGCATAATTTCATGATGATAACTAATGTTTAAAGAAATATATTTTAGCTTAAAGTGTTTCCTCAATATAAATTTCAAAAATAGCATTCATAAAGTATGATTTGTACATAAATATGGTCAATGGATTCGTATAAAGACTTATTAAAATTTTATAGAAGTCTGAAAATAGAAATTATATTGGATGGTAGACTTTTTGATTACACCGGAAAAGGAGCACAGTTATCCGAATAAAGCATAGAATTTAAATGGCTTTTAATTTTTTACGGATCTATCCGTGAATTGAAACTTATACGTTAATAACCGCCGTTTTGTGATGGCGGCAACAACAAGTTAAGATCGTTTTTTAAAACGGACTTCCAGACAAGTTGCATTACAGGTGTAATATACACTTTACCTTTTGGGGAAGATTGAAGAATACCGGACCACTCGTACATTTTTGCGCGAGAAAGTGGGGTAGGTGGGGCGGGTGGTTGGGAGGGGGGAGGGGGGGGGTCTAGATCTAGTTTAAAAATCAAAAAGATGTGTAAAATAAGATTATGAAGAAAACTTGTCCGAGTAACATAAAATTATCAAACTTACCAAATTATAAAGATAATCTTTCAAGATGCTAAAATATTTAATTATAAGAAATGGATAAAAATATACTTTTAAACTGAATTTAAGATATGATTGCATGATTCTAGGCGTGTGCCATAACTAACCTTATGTAAGGAATAGCGGACACAAAAGAGGGTCGATGCCAGCTTTATCTGATTGATCTAGATCTAGATCTAGATCTAGATCTAGAAAATCTAGATCTAGATATTAGATCTAGATTTCTAGATCTAAATCTAGATCTAGAATCTATGTCTTGGTCAATATTATTGATTACAATAATTTTGTTTCCTGGTTTTCACAAAGTGGAGCGCACAATGATTTCAAATATTTAAAAAAAGAGATAACAGCACCTTTGGAGGTGTGATTGCATGCATGAGCGTGGATGACCTTTGAAGGGTAGTTGGTTTTTTTGTTCAGTAAAGTACGATATCGAGAGCAGCGTTTTTAGTCCAGAGGGGGATAATTTATCTTAGTGATGACTCTTGTGTAGTAAAATTTGTTGTTGCTTTGTTTGGTTTTAAATTTTTTAACAGCAGAATCTTAAGTGAACCGGAATTATTGATTGTGGGATCTTAGGTGAAGACTACAACAATAGAATTAAACCGAGTATAGTTCTATCTAACAAGACTCAAACTCTTATCCACCCCACCCTACCCTCTCCCCTCATCTGGTATGGTTTGGTGTTTTTTTAACACAGGAAATATTCATCATTAATTATTGTTGTTGAGTATTGATTTCATATTCTAATGGAGCCTCTGTGTGTGCATCTTATATCTCTACATAGAAAGATAATAGTACTAAAAATAGGCCATTTTTTACTCATCCTGAGTGCACACGTCATTGTATGTTAAATACAGGAGAATACTGTTAAAAATCTTAAACTATCAAACAGAAGTGCATTCAAACATTGAAAATAGTTTGTTATCATCATAACAGCGTGTGTCCATTATAAAAGGGTTTTATTTTTTTATATTAATGATGTTATTGCTGAGTAAAATTTATAAGTTCGTTCATAACTCGTGTCATAATTACATCATCGGACTTTCCAAGGTCTAGAAAACCCAAATTGTTAAATATATCATCCCGGGGTATGAACGGTATTAAACATTGGTTTGACATTGATCCATCAGAAGGGTAATTTTCCGCTCCATCGCATGGTTTTGCTTAAATATGACTTTGATTGAGATAATCCAGGTTTGTCATAATGAATAATGATGTTACATGAACAAACACTTTTTTATGATATTTCTGCAAAATATCATGTGAGGGACTTCCCACTGTTTCACAACATCCTTTTACATGGTGGAATGAACATGGAAGAGTATCGTGCTGATGACTCAAAAGAGAAGCGAAGAAGAGGCAAAAATATGCTTGTCATAATGGATTGTCATCATGTTATGAACGTGACAGTGTGTCATAATGGTTATGAACGAAACCTTATTCCATGTAATTTACAGTTGTTTTGGGATGTATTTTTAATTTTAACCCAACTTGAGGATGTATTAGACCTTGCTGCTTGCTTACATTCTGATATTTTGATTTTTGTCATAAGTGTATGGGTCTGGATTTTAATTAGTATTTTACTTTTGTAGTAATGGTTATGAACGAACTACATATTATACTCTGAGGGCTTTCCAGAGTTGATAAACATTAAAAACATGTACACAGATACATATTATGAGGAAACTTTCATTTAATATAAAATTTTAAAGTAAATGACAGGTCAAAATATTAATTTTTAGGTCAAAACTGAAGTTTGTCATAATAGTTATGAATGAACAATTAAAGGTATTAAGGGTTTTTCAGTGATTAAACTTTGAATTTTTCCAACATATAACCTTATTTTGAGGAGAGTCTCATAAATTAAAACAATTTTATGTGAATGACAGAACAATAAGTTAATTTTTTGGGCCCAAAGTAAAATTTGTCATAATAGTTATGAACAAAACAGTGTGTCATAACGGTTATGAACGAAACCTTATTCCATGTAATTTACAATTGTTTTGGGATGTATTTTTAATTTTAACCCAACTAAAGGACAGAATAGACCTTGCATACATTCTGATATTTTGATTTTTATCATAAGTGTATGGGTGTGGATTTTAATTAGTATTACACTTTTGTAGAAATGGTTATGAACGAACTATTTATAGTCCATTTGATATATTTTGAGGGCTTTTCAGTGTTAACAAACTTTAAAAACATGTACAGAGATACATATTATGAGGAGAATTTCATTTAATAAAAGTTATAAAAAATGAATGACTGATCAAAATGAGTAAATTTTAAGGTCAAAATTGAAGTTTGTCATAATTGTTATGAACGAACCATTTTAAAGGTATTCTAAGGGTTTTTCAGGAAATAAACCTTGAATTCTCCCTACATAGGGGATTCTATCATATTTTAAGGAAAGCCTCATAAATGAAAACCGTTTTATGTGAAAGACAGAACAATATAAATAAATTTTAGGGGCCAAAAGTAAAATTTGTCATAATAGTTATGAACGAAATAGTGTGTCATAATGGTTATGAAAGAACTTCAAATTTATGCATAATATGCCCTAAGACCAGTTTGCGTTTAAAAATAGCTGTTCAATGGTCTTCCATTTATCACTTGACTATAATTAGACCAGAGTGTTATTTTAGACAATTCTAGACGATGAAACTTGATATAATCGATAGTATTTTGGTCACTTATTGTTCGTTCATAACTATTATGACACAAAAAAGTAATTTTATCAAAATTAATAAAGATTTTTATAAATTGTCAATTCTATGTATTTTTGGAAGTTATTTGCTATGTCTCAAAATATAACATCAGCCTAGCTGAAGAAAGGAACTTTGAGTATTCATAAATTTGTGTCATCATTGTTATGAACGAACTTTCTGCTATTTCCGTCATTCAAGTCAGAATTACACCAAGACCATTGCATATACAGCTTTGGCAGTTACTGAGCCTGAAAGAGCAATCATTAGGCTATATAATATGGGTGATTAAAGAATTATTACATAAAGTTGATTTTGGACCTCATTTGTCACACCCAGGTATCCCACCTTTTGGCAAATGCTCATACATAACATATATATATATATATATTAAACCCCTCCTTGGTAGAGCCTGTTCAACTATCTGGTAATGAACGACAATAATGCATTGCGTGCAGGCTAGACAAATTGGTTTTGGCAGGTGGGGTTGTAAATAGTTGGGAGATCTTTCCAGTATTCGTCCAGACGTCTCTTAAATTAAAATTGTCCACGTTTGGAGCTGACACCACTGATTCGGGAACATTGTTCCAAATAGTATTAATTCTATTCTCAAGAAAGTTTGCCCTCACACACAATCTGCTTCTTTGCTTCTGGAGCTTCTCTGAGTTGCCACGGAGTTGTGTGGTTGTTGCCTTTGTAAAGGGCTGGTCTTTCGGGGATGTAGCAGCCTTTGATGTACTTGCACGTTTCTATCATATCACCACGTAACCCACGATGTTCCAGGGATGGAAGCTTTAGTTTTTTCAGTCTTTCAGAATAAGGCTTTTCTTTGAGGTGACTCAGCATTTTGGTAGCCCGCCTTTGAACTTGCTCGATTTCACTACATAGTCCTTATGAAAGGGTTGCCAAACACAGTGTGCATGCTCTAATAAAGGCCTCACTAAACTCTTGTACAGCCAAACAAACATATCCTCAGAAAGGTAGTCAAATGATCGCCTAATAAGTCCCACAATACGGTTCGCTTTTGATTTTGTCTGGGCTACGTGCTCCTTGAAGGTTAGTTTACTATCGACCACCACTCCTAAGTCTTTCTCTCTCTTTGTTACATTCAGTGTGTGTCTTGAGGTGCCACCGTCCACTGCTTGGTCCATCAATATTCCTTAATGAAGAATAGATCTCGATATCTAGGCTACCGGTCTGAGATTCTTCATTGAGAGAGATTAAATACTGGGGAAAATCATGAATTCTTAAGGTTGTCGAGACATCGGCAAAAGTAGTCCTACTCCGCTGGTCCGGTATTCTTCAGTCTTACCCAGCCCTCTTCCTGCTTTGGCCTTCTTCCATTGTTCTCCCTTTTTTCTTCCAACGACTTTACAGTATCTGCAGCTTGACCGGAGAGGCTCAGTCCCGCCATCATGACTCACGGCTGCTCTTCCTGCCCGTCTGTCACTTCAATGCTAAATACTGCGTGTCCAAAAAATCTGAAAACAGTAACTTTGATAAATTGTAGTGTAGTACCAGTCGTTGTCTAGAAATATGTCTGTACAGTCGAGACTGTCGGAGACTTCTGAGACAATGTCATTGTGATAGAAAAAGAACTAAACCTCAAGGTGGGAAGCGTTCATTTGTACGGGTGATGGTCTCAGTCAGGTGGTCCTTGGACCAGGGTCCACTGGATTTTTTTAAGTCCTTAAAAAAGTACCATACAGTAAAGAATCAGTCTTATTTGAAATAGCTTTTGAGTTCAGAACTTTGCCGAACCGAAACTTAACAAAAAATGAACTGATGTGTGCTAGTGTTTGAAGAGAGAGAAAGATGGTTTATTTTGTTTTTTCGCTCAGGTTGAAAAACTGATGTCCAGGATAGAGATCTAGAGAAGAAAGCAGAACTTCCACCATGACTGACAGGCACAAAGAATACAAGATCTCAGGGGTGTCTGTTTTCTTCCCCTGTAAACCGTACCCCTCCCAGCTCAGCATGATGAACATGGTAAAGTCCTTATGATTGATCAGATAATGAATCGGCCTATAATGTGTTACAAATCGACAATAAAACGTTTCTACTGTTTCTTTAACTAGATTCAATTGGTCTTTGTTTTGGAGTAAGTCAGGCGAAATAGTTTTTTGTCTCCATACTTCCAAAATTAGATTTGCCTTTTCTCCTCTTTGCTTCTATCAAAAAGTCTATGAAAATAAGATTGTGAAAAGGTTCTCATTTTTCACCTTTGACCTGACTTGTGGTGTATAAGTTGTTTTCTGTAAGTTCCTTGTTGTAATATTTTAGCATTATTTTGGTATGTATGAAGTGCTCTGTTGATGGAAGTAGACATGTAGTTCTGTCGTCTGTCACCGTCAGATTCTGAGGGGAATCGAACGACGCCAACATTGTCTGCTGGAGAGCCCGACGGGCAGTGGCAAAAGTCTGGCCTTGCTTTGTTCCTCGTTGGCCTGGCAGAGTGCAGAGAAAGGTTTGTGACAGGCTTGTCACTTCAGCGTGATATTCTGGCCTTTCCACAGATTTTAACTTCTGGATTCATTTCTTTTTATATATTTTTGGTAAGGGGAAAACTAGTTACAGTTGTCTGGCATACCAAAGCCACATAATACCTATCAAGTTCTTTGTTGGCATTCCTTGTTAGGAAATTATAATAATATGCTTTTAAATGTCTAATCTTTATTGGAATGGGTTGTGGATTTTCAAGTAAGTTTGGCAGTCACCCCATGTTCAAATCCACATCAAATACTGACTGGTTAGACTCATTCTCTCATGACATTTTCCCAACTTCCATTTTCTCCTGTTCTAAAGCTTAAAGCTTTCATTTTCCCAACCTCCATTTTCTCCTGTTCTAAAGCTTAAAGCTTTCATTTTCCCAACCTCCATTTTCTCCTGTTCTAAAGCTTAAAGCTTTCATTTTCCCAACCTCCATTTTCTCCTGTTCTAAAGCTTAAAGCTTTCATTTTCCCACCTCTCTTGGCTTTTGTTGTTGTTGTTTTTTTGTCTAACACATTGTTTCAGAAAACTGTTTTTGAAACAAACTAAATCAAATGTCTTTTTCTTTCAGCCAAGAAAGAACTTGAGGAAGCAGCTGAAGCAGAAAAGGGTAGGTTTCTACTCAGGCATTGTCTGTTGGTTTTGTTCCAACCTTGAGCACTAATGAATAGATTGTACTTGGCCTCATTTGTGTTCTTGGTACTTGATGTGGTTGCTGTCTTGTCTGTGTTTATCAAAGCTGTTATGTCGACACAAAAGTCCAGGTCTCAAAGTAGTTAGAGAAAATCTGAACATCGGATATAATATACCAATGACTACAGTTTTATTTTCAGAAAAGAAACCCCAAATGGCTACTGGTAAACTTATCGCTACTGGTAAACTTATCGCTACTGGTAAACTTATGACTTACCTAGAGAACTTGATGGTGAGGAGGGAGGACCAGGAGAACATTGTGCTTAGAGAACATTGAGCTTAGAGAACATTGTGCTTAGAGAACATTGTGCTTAGAGGACATTGTGCTTAGAGGACATTGAGCTTAGAGAACATTGTGCTTAGAGAACATCCGGGTAGAGAAATCTGTGCTATTCCATCCCGTCATTTCCAGTGGGTTTCTCTTACATCCGGGCAGAGACGTCTGTGGTGTGGTATTCCATCCCGTCATTTCTAGTGGGTTTCTCTTACATCCGGGCAGAGACGTCTGTGGTGTGGTATTCCATCCCGTCATTTCCAGTGGGTTTCTCTTACATCCGGGCAGAGACGTCTGTGGTGTGGTATTCCATCCCGTAATTTCCAGTGGGTTTCTCTTGGTTCCACAGCTGCCTGTTTGTGCCTGTGCCATCAAGCACCAGCGGTAACACAAAGTGGGGCAGCAACAAAAAAGAGAGCCAATAAACAGTCAGACGTCTGTGAGGCTGGGAACCCGTCCGAACTTCCGCGGGGAGGAGCTACAGTCGGTGAGTGGAGTCAGGAGTGCAGGCGGTGTCTTATGTCATGTGACGGGTTGTAGGTTCGCATGTTGTCACAGGCTGTCATATCTGTCATGTGATGGGGTTGTAGGTTCGCATGTTGTCACAGGCGCTGTCGTATCTGTCATGTGACGGGTTGTAGGTTCGTAAGTTGTCACAGGCTGTCGTATCTGTCATGTGACGGGTTGTAGGTTCGTAAGTTGTCACAGGCTGTCGTATCTGTCATGTGACGGGTTGTAGGTTCGTAAGTTGTCACAGGCTGTCGTATCTGTCATGTGACGGGTTGTAGGTTCGCATGTTGTCACAGGCTGTCGTATCTGTCATGTGACGGGTTGTAGGTTCGCATGTTGTCAAGCTGTAATGTAGCTTGCTCTATCTAACAACAGAGGTGGTATGGCATTGCTTGTGGCCGTTTCGTTGTGCAGTCTTCCAGTTCCAGTAAGAAAAAATATAATTTTATTACGCAGAAAGATGTAGCTGTTTGGGCAAGAAACATTTTTTACGTAGGGGAAACGTGTTGAATCCAAGTTCCCCTGTCCTGCCACAGACGATGATATCTAGCACAGCGGCTGTGGGAAGTGCTGGCCTACAAGGAAGTACGCAATCTCTACGAGGAAGTACGCAAAGCGGCAATCTCTACGAGGAAGTACGCAATCTCTACAAGGAAGTACGCAAAGCGGCAATCTCTACGAGGAAGTACGCAATCTCTACGAGGAAGTACGCAATCTCTACGAGGAAGTACGCAATCTCTAAGAGGAAGTACGCAATCTCTACGAGGAAGTACGCAATCTCTACGAGGAAGTACGCAATCTCTACGTGGAAGTACGCAATCTCTACGAGGAAGTACGCAATCTCTACGTGGGGTCTCACAGAAATGTTGTGTTGTTGCTTTGACCTCTGACATAATATAGGGTCACCCCTGACCCTCAGATGGTGTACACACGGTCAGTGCAGGAAGCAGTGCGTCATCCCTGACCCTCACATGGTGTACACACGGTCAGTGCAGGAAGCAGTGCGTCATCCCTGACCCTCAGATGGTGTACACACGGTCAGTGCAGGAAGCAGTGCGTCATCCCTGACCCTCAGATGGTGTACACACGGTCAGTGCAGGAAGCAGTGTGTCAGGTTTTATGACCCTCAGATAGTGTACACATGGTCAGTGCAGGAAGCAGTGTGTCAGGTTTTATGACCCTCAGATAGTGTACACATGGTCAGTGCAGGAAGCAGTGTGTCAGGTTTTATGACCCTCTGATAGTGTACACATGGTCAGTGCAGGAAGCAGTGTGTCAGGTTTTATGACCCTCAGATAGTGTACACATGGTCAGTGCAGGAAGCAGTGTGTCAGGTTTTATGACCCTCAGATGGTGTACACACGGTCAGTGCAGGAAGCAGTGCGTCATCCCTGACCCTCAGATGGTGTACACACGGTCAGTGCAGGAAGCAGTGCGTCATCCCTGACCCTCAGATGGTGTACACACGGTCAGTGCAGGAAGCAGTGTTTCATCCCTGACCCTCAGATGGTGTACACACGGTCAATGCAGGAAGCAGTGTGTCAGGTTTTATGACCCTCACATGGTGTACACACGGTCAGTGCAGGAAGCAGTGTGTCAGGTTTTATGACCCTCAGATAGTGTACACAAGGTCAGTGCAGGAAGCAGTGTGTCAGGTTTTATGACCCTCAGATAGTGTACACACGGTCAGTGCAGGAAGCAGTGTGTCAGGTTTTATGACCCTCAGATGGTGTACACACTGTCAGTGCAGGAAGCAGTGTGTCAGGTTTTATGACCCTCAGATAGTGTACACATGGTCAGTGCAGGAAGCAGTGTTTCATCCCTGACCCTCAGATGGTGTACACACGGTCAGTGCAGGAAGCAGTGTGTCAGGTTTTATGACCCTCAGATAGTGTACACAAGGTCAGTGCAGGAAGCAGTGTGTCAGGTTTTATGACCCTCAGATAGTGTACACACGGTCAGTGCAGGAAGCAGTGTGTCAGGTTTTATGACCCTCAGATGGTGTACACACTGTCAGTGCAGGAAGCAGTGTGTCAGGTTTTATGACCCTCAGATAGTGTACACACGGTCAGTGCAGGAAGCAGTGTGTCAGGTTTTATGACCCTCAGATGGTGTACACACTGTCAGTGCAGGAAGCAGTGTGTCAGGTTTTATGACCCTCAGATAGTGTACACATGGTCAGTGCAGGAAGTAGTGTGTCAGGTTTTATGACCGTCACATGGTCAGTGCAGGAAGCAGTGTGTCAGGTTTTATGACCGTCACATGGTCAGTGCAGGAAGCAGTGTGTCAGGTTTTTTGACCGTCACATGGTCAGTGCAGGAAGCAGTGTGTCAGGTTTTATGACCGTCACATGGTCAGTGCTGGAAACAGTGTGCCAGGTTTTATGACCGTCAGTTGGCCTGCACATGCTCATGTTTCCTTGTCTCGTGTTCCCTCAGTGCTGGAAACAGTATGCCATCATGTTTTATAGAAAAGAGTTTTTACTTTCCCCGTTACGTACTTTTCGTTAACAGTTCAGGATTTGTGGTTTTTAACCTCTGCCTTTAACTTTTTTCTCACAGATCCCGATCCTGACGTGTTTGAAATTGACGACGACAACGATTTCAGAACAGAGAGCACGGAGTTGAAGGAAGGGGTAAGGGATTATTTGTGACTGTTGTTTGAGCATGTCACGTCGTATTACAGGAAATGTTGCATAATTAATGAATGAATTGGGAATGTTGTTGTTGACAGATAGTTTCTTGTTTTCCATTTGTAGAAATGTCAGTGTTTGTGAGGGAGGCCTGGGGAAGGTCCTTGCTGTTGGCAGAGACAATGGGTGGTTGACGGGTGCTCTTGAGCAGGGAGGGGAGAGACAATGGTTGGTTGGCGGGTGCTCTTGAGCAGGGAGGGGAGAGGCAATGGGTGGTTGACGGGTGCTCTTGAGCGGGGAGGGGAGAGACAATGGGTGGTTGACGGGTGCTCTTGAGCGGGGAGGGGAGAGACAATGGGTGGTTGACGGGTGCTCTTGAGCGGGGAGGGGAGAGACAAGAAAAGTGTCTGGTAGTCAAACAAATGTAGTTCCTTGAGGAAATGTCTACGAATACTTGGCCATTCCTAAATGTCAAGTGAAAGGATTTTTCACAAAACCATGTTTAATTTTTTTTTTTTTTTTTTCTCCCCAACTTGTCCCATTTCATGGAGTGTAAAAATGTGCTAGAAATTAGGGGAAAGCGCCCTGTTCTTTTGGCGTCTTTTCTGTAAAATGAGTAGAGAAAGATTTTGTTGTTTGGTATTTCAGGAGAGCAAGAAGGATGGCAGAAAGCACGTCACCATCAGCTATGTGGAGGAGGAAAAGAGCGCTGCCACGGGCAAGTCTGGCGCTGGAGGAAGGTCGGCCGCTGGTGAGCAGGGCAAGAAGGGGCCAGAACTGGTGTGTGGCCTGTGCACCTGTGCCAGTTCCGAGACGCAGAAGATTAAGTAAGCTGGGTTTGTAGTTGTTGTTTGGTGTGTTGTTGTTTGGTGTGTGGTTGTTGTTTGGTGTGTTGTTGTTTGGTGTGTTGTTGTTGTTTGGTGTGTTGTTGTTGTTTGGTGTGTTGTTGTTGTTTGGTGTGTTGTTGTTTGGTGTGTTGTTGTTGTTTGGTGTGTTGTTGTTGTTT